CATTTCTATAGACTTTCTTCCTATTTTTATTTCTTCTTTTTTTCAGTATTTTTTAAAATCCAGTAAATGCCTTTTTATCAAGTTCTGATTGGAATGTTAATTGCCTGTTACTTGTCTGTTTGTTGTGCCCGTCTTGCCCGACAATCTTCAGTCGTTATTATTACGTCAGTTTTAAATTTTGAATTCGAGTTGATGAAGATTTAAGAAAATACATCGAAATAATCGAGTTGTTGTTAACCGAGTTTTGTTGTTTAAAGTTCTCAAGTAAAGCTCTGCATGAGCCCGAAACGATTGCTAAATGGTCTTGCCAAAAAGTATTATATAGGAAAAAAGGTGTAAAAATCTTACTCGGTCTTTTCTTTTTTGCCAACTGTATACCGTGGAGACATGCCTCATTTCCCGTCTGTTTGAGGGGAACTTTTTGGCCACTAGTAAACCTCGAACATAACACAGTTTAATGTTCAGCATAGAATACCGTAAGCTTACTTGCAGACACACATCAATATCTAATAATAAGAAATCTTCTGAAAACTTAAATCATTCAATCTTTAATGTGGATTTTTCACACACGTACACGTACGAATAAGAACAACTCTATAGATAACATTGGGGGAAGATAATACAATTGGGAGATTTAATGAAGAAGAAGACAATTATCGCCTAAAGAATAAACAGATACACAGTTCGTCGGAAATATATCGTATTTCTGAAATACAATATATTTGACAAGACTACTTGACGGTCACAAGTCCCACTAAAAATGACGATAGACATTTTTCTCGCAAGAATCTATCTTACATATTTATAAGTCTACCATTCCTCCTTCCTTTGAATATTGCTGCCACATCTGGTCTAATGCCCCTGCTATCTATTTAGAGATTTTTGATAAAATCTCAAGAATAATCTGCAATTTCACTGGTCCTGATCTGACATCTCGGCTTCAATCACTTCCCACCCCCATAACATAGATTAATATGTTCATAGTAATTGTTCTGATGAACTTTCTCCTAGGGTAGCGAAACTTTATGAATTTAACCGCATTACTAGATTGGCAGAAAGGTCCCATCAATTTAAAGTCTAAATAGCTAGATGTAACCGTAAGTTCTATGCTAACAGTTTCTTCTATCGCACTTCTCGCTTGTAGAACTCTCTTCTGGCTTCCTGCTTCCCAGTCAACTATTCCCTTCAAATATTTAAATGGAATGTCAATCGTTATCTTCGATTTTCATAATTCTTGTTCTTTTGTTGTTCTTTCTCCTTAATAATGTGTTTTTCTCATATTCTCTAAAATAATAAAAACTCTATATAGGAGTTGCGTCTTAGTGGCTGTATTGCCTTGCATAAAGTGAAGTGATTAAAAAAACACAAAAAGGCAATGATGTCGAAAAATCTTTTCACTGGTCCTTGAATTGACTGGTCAGAAACGAGTAAGAAGAACTTTTGGGGTCAAAAAAAAAGGGTTTTCTTCCTTCAAATTTATATGATGAGGTTTTATCTTGGTAGCGATTAAATGGCCTAAAAATATTGCTGGAATAGAAAAGTTATCTCACTCACCTTTACCCTCTCCATCGTTGATGAGTAGACGGCAGTATTCCCTAATGGAAACAATAAAAAAAATATCGATACAGACACCAAGCGTTTTGCCATTCATTATGACAAGAAAAATCTACGTATGGTGAAAAGATGGCTTTTGATTTTCATGGGGAAATTGATACTGTACGACTTTAGAGTATTAGCCTGAGGACAATCGATTCGATCAACTGCGAAACGATAACCGTAGCTCGCTCAAACACCAGCACCCGCTACACATCCGCTTTTTTAATTGTTTCTATATAATCAGCTCAAGAAATAAAATATAAAATATAAACACAATTGTATATTCATTGTTACTCTCTTGTCTGAAGACATTCCTATATGTCCAAAATACCATCAACTAATATTAATCCACATTTTATGAACACAAATAAATTTCTTCAGTGATTAGTAATTCTGTTGCAGCTCTATTAATTCGAAAAATTAATCAAATTAATTTACTCAAGATTTGTTAGATAATTACAATTCGACCGATTGATTGTCCGGCCTTCTATGATAGCATACAGGCAAAAGCGTATTGATCGAAACTACAATTTTTAGTATACTAGTCGGAGTAACTTATTTTATAATTATCTGCAGTTTCGTTTTCCGCGGTTTCACTTATCTGCGGTTAATCACAGAAATATTCTTGAGTCTTAATAAAGTTCACAAAGCGCAACATTAGCGATTCGGGCGATTGGAATGTGTTCTTAGTTTCATTAAAAAGGTAACAACATTTTTTACATGTTGCTGATTTCTGTTCGGAATTCACATATTCTTGATATAGTTTTGCTATTTTTGACCACAAAAATTATTGAACCCTTGCCACCTCAGAGATATAGTCTGTTTCGTCTTTCGGACACCAATTATTCCGGTGTTAAATTCTGTTCGCGACCCATAACTACCTTCCAACATGATCTGACTGCAGACTTTATCGCTGTTAAAAATATTCGTTAATTAAATTGAAAATGATAAAATGAAAATTGAAATGTATAATCTTTTTTGTCATAACGACATTATTTATTTTTTGTTTCTTTTTTCATCCAAACAAGAAAACATTGCTTGCTGTATTTAAGGATCGTCGGCGGCGGCTCGATCTCATATCCAAGAATTTGATTTCTTCTTTGCGGATCGCTTCCTTTATGATGATGGCCTTGATTTGCGTCCAGCTTCCAATTCCATCAAAACCTGCTCCCAACAATATTTGGTTGGAGGTGAAACAAAATCAGAGCAGAAGAATGGCGTGAATTTGCTTAAGGTGCACCTCAGCTTGCCACACACTTTGATTTCATGACCTTCCTCTGCGGCACATATGGAGGTAGACACGCAGAAATGATTTCTGAAACTGCAACGGACTGCTGCTGATTCTGTTATAATTTCGAGTGGCACCTTCTGTAGCATGTCCGTCATGCGTAGACCTCTTCATCCGATGTTTCAATCGTTGAGATCTTTTGTAATTGTCACCCGCTTGTTCCACCGTTGAGGTTTTCAATTATAATAGTAGTATAAGATTACACGAAACTTATAAACTTATAACGGGCCTAATTCGAAATTCTTTGTAAGTTACCTGAGTCAACAAGCACCTGGAGAAGGCCAGAGTCCATAACGGCCGAAACGTTGTGATAGCAACAACAAAGATAAAAACAATAGTTTGCATGTAAATAATATAAATAATGATAACTTCTTATCACGGAAATTCAGCCAGAAATCGTATGAAACGCTTATAAAAAGTTAACAAGGGTTCTTAAATCATCACCACAAGGTATTTTGGACATTTTTTAATCAGAGATAATTTTTTAAGAAATGGAACATTTTGGAAAGAAGATTAAACAGCGCCTGATTTTCTGCGACATAAAAACAATCATACAATCATTTCTCCCTTATTATTTGTAAAGGAAATTTTTAATAATATTGATAAATGCCCCAAGCTAATTCTCAGAAGCCAAGATAACAGTATCTTTTAACAATTAATTACTCCAGTCGGTTATTATTTCAATAACTATGATTGAACAAAGTTGTCTGCTACGCATGCGCACACAAATATAACAAAATATTTTATTCAACGTTTCAGAGTATTGCAAAAGTCCACACGATCAAATTTTTAATTATCATTTCAGCCTGAGCAAGGCAGTAAAGCCACTAAGACACAAGGGGTCTGTGGGTGTGGAAGAACAGAAACATTACTAATGAGAGGGAAGAGAAAAGAGTAATATGGAGGACAATAAATGGCGATTGACATTAGTTTTTAATTTTCGGAGATTAAAGTTGGCCGGAAAGCATGAAGCCGGAAAGGAATTCCACAAGCGACAAGTGCGAGAAAAAAAAACTGTTAGCATAGAATTCACGGTTACATGTAGCCAGCTCAGCTATAAATCGATGAAATGTTGCCACCAGTCTAGTACTGCGCTTAAATTCATAAAGTCTAGGAACCATAGCGAAGAGTTCATCTCAACAATTGCTATGAAAGTATTTATAGAAAAGGCAAGAGAAGAAAACTTTACGGCGGAGAGAAAGTGACTGAAGCTAAGACCTCAGATCAGGACCAATGATATTACTGATTCTTCTTTGGATGTTATCAAGGAGCTCTAGAGATATAGCAGTAACATCAGACTATCTGTGGCAGGAATATTCTAAGAATGGATGATTTACAGGTATGTATGATAGATTTTAGAGAGAAAAATTGTCTCGCACGATACAATGAACCAACTTTCTTAGTAGCTGATCAAGTAATGGATTCAATAAAATGTAAGACGAATTTGGGGTGGAGTGCTCAATTGAAATCAGTATGTAAAAAACAGACAAGAAATATATTAAAGGCTACGATGAAAACTCAGTATTAGGGTTTTTTTCCTCGGTGCAAAGCCCTGGACATTTGGGTAGCAAATCTACAAGAGAATTCTATGAGCAGTTCTACATTTGTGCAGAAAAGACAAAAACATATTTTATAGTTTCGATCACAAAAGTTCTGAGTTACAATTAACAAAAGTTTTAAACAATGCTTTCAGTAAACAAGATCGTTACGAATGAAGTCAATTTAAAAAGAAACATAAAAAATTGATATTTGCTTATCTTTATATGAAAATGAAGCAAATATAGTCACTTCTATTTTCTATTTTCTTTTTCAACGGCTATTGTGTTTCTCCACACTTTTCAGTCATTTTGCTTTTTTGCGCTAATAAATTCTTTTACCATTTCCCTTTCATTCTTTGTTCTTTTGCTGCCATCCATTCACACACGTTCGTTAAGTAGCTTACTCGCAGTTTTACCCTGTCCTTCTTGCCTTCAATAAATCCTGTGAGTGTTGAATTCACTATTATCCATAGCTCACGAAATTTCTCGAGAATTTTGAGTCATCTCTTTCTTATAATTGTTTGTTTTTCTTATTTCTCAAAAAAATTATATTCAATTTTTCTATCTTTTTCTCATTGATGTACTTTCTTTTCTCTTTCGCTTCGTTTATTCTCGCCTTTACCCTTTTTTTTTTACTGTTCTCTTTCCCGTTTCCCTTAATTTCGTCAAGAGAAACAGAAAAATCATTTTCTCTTTTTCCTCTTTAGTCTCTTCGTAGCCACTGGCCACACCCATCACTCCATCATCCTGAAAACAACAATTTCCAAACAAAGCCTACATCACTTTCATGTGCATTCTACAAGCGGCAATTACTTCATTAATTCATTCATACGCCTTACCAGGTGTTTAATCTACGGCCATCGTTAAAATAATTCATTTATTTAAAAGTGCCCGCCGGCTTTGTTTACGTTTAATATCAGGAAAAGAAAGCGTCCCAACAAAACACACACGTGTGCGTGCGTATAAGCAAGCAAAGAAAGAAAAAATGGTAAATTACGAATCTAAGAAAACGGACAATGTTGAAAATTAGTGAGTGCATTAGAAAGCGTTCTCCTATTTTTCAGCACATTTCCTGAAGCTATGAACAACGCTTGAATTGCTAACCTGGCTACGATGAAATGGCCACGGTTGCCATTAAAATACGAGGTTGATGCAAAAGTTTCCTCTGCTGTCTTTTGTACAGTCTTGGGAAAAATTCACAAAAGGGTTTCATAAAATAGAAGTGTTGGCCAGTGATAACACGAGATTTAGTCTCTCAAATTTTTTCTAATCATTTCACCCCAATGAAGGCGAAAATGCCACTAGTACGCAGGGGGTTACAGAGAGTGGAAGTGAGAGAAAAGACTGGGTTTATTGGAGATCGAGGAAAAGATAAAAGATGAACCGGGTTCAAGAATACAGAAGATGACAATTGACGTTGCGTTTAAATTTTTGAAGATTGTAGTTATCAGGAAAGCAATTAAACGGAAGGGAGTTCCACTGTCGTGAATTGCGAGAAAAGAAACTCTTGGAGTAGAAGTGGCAGTTGCATTCAGCTATTCTACAATAAACGGGTAGGACCTAACTGCCAATCTAGTATCACGCTTAAATCCATGTAGTCGGGGCACCAGGGAAAAAAAGCTTGTCAGAGCAGTTGCCATGAAAATATTTGTAAAAAAGACAGAGGGAAGCCACGTCACGTCTGTGGGAAAGTGACTGATATCGAGATGCCAATCAGGATCGATTACATTACAAATCCTTCTTTGGATTTTATCAAGAACCTCGAGATCATTAGCAGGAGTAGCAGACCAGATAGGGCAACGGTATTTAATGCACGAAAGAATGATAGATTTGTAAATGTGAAAAATGAACTATGACGGGAATGACACGACACAATGAACCAACTTTCCTTGCAATAGATGCAGCTATTGATTCAATGTAGTTGTTCGACTTCAAGTCAATTGAGAACGTAAGGGAAAAAGAAGGCGCGGAGAAACACTCTCCCTGAATCGAACACCAGACATGTTGATGGCTAGCAAAAATGTTCCTCTGTGGTGGTTAAATGAGAGCAGTTTAGTTTCGGAGATATTAAAACTTACAAGCCATTATCTGCCTCAGCTAACCACTGATTAGATGTCTTTTTCAGAGGCCTGCTTAACTCAATAATCGCCCTGCAATACCGTAGTCCTGAAGCTTACGTCGAAAACCAACCTTCCAAACCCTGTCAAACGCCGCCTTTGACATATCTAGAGCGAATATTATTTAAGAGCGTGATATACCTATTCAGAAAAATAATGGTTATCACGAAATAAGAAACAAGTGTCAACACTAAAAAGCAGGACTCGTTTTACAAAAGTCATTGCTTTTTATATCGTAGAATATGAAAAGTATCTTTGATTACGACCGTACCAGAACATGGGATAACTAACATTGTATATGTTTGCTGCCGGCAACTATATCGGCTAAACAAAAAATCACACCGAAAGTGTCCAGCAAAGAGGTTATCCTCCAGCGTGACAATTGGAATTTATTCTTCTGCTAGTCTCGATAATTTTCCGCGTATTGCTAGCCCTCACACAGTTAATCAGAGAAGGACAACTCTGATTTCAACCCTCCGCTCCCTTGCGGCTATACACAACCATAGACAACTTCTGAGGCTAAAACTGGTGTCGGTTTCACAAAGACAATCTAATGGTGCATCAAACATCGTTCTGACCAATTCCTACATCAACAAAGCCAAAGAGTGCATGTTCTTTAGGCAACATCGATAGCGTGGAGATATGCGAAAAGGTGTGACATGGGAAAAGATCCTATTAAAAAAGTTACACAAACGCGGAAATCTTTGCGTCCCCACCACCCACACCTAATGTTCGATTCGCAAAACAGACGCAACCCTACAACCAAGTGAATTAACAAAACAAAAAACACTTCAGGCGCGGATCTGTAGATGAGGGTCACTCGTAACTGACGTGTGAAATGCCCATTATTCGACTAGAACGTAACAAATTTTTACCTGTAGTATCAACGATTACAGAAATAGTAATTAAATAAACTTCAATTAATTTTATTGCATGTAATTGGCGCTCTACAACACAGATATTCCTGCCAATACCAAATCCAAATGTAGCTAAGATTGATTTTGGCTCGCATTGCAATTGGAAAAGGTCGGCGAAGTGCCATGGCGGTTTCAGTTTCAGGATAAAATTTTTTTTAAAAATTGGGAATCAGTGCTTGTTTTCGGCCAAGTATGCTCAAAAGTTAATCCGAATACAAAACTGTCTATCTTCGTTTGATTTTTTAAAGATTTTGATCTATTATTCTGTCTATATCTCTGAGATGAGGTATTATGATTACTTGCACGATTTACATTATTCGGACTGTTATCCTCATCTTCACTGCATATTCACAGCGTTTCGGCCGATGTATGCCCCGGCCTTTAAGTCTATGTCTCTCTATATATCTGCCTATAATTATGAAATGAGGTATTATCATTACTTGCATTATTTACATTATTTGGATTGTTATCCTCGTCTTCATTGCCATATTTAAAACGTTTCGGCTGTTGGACACCCTGACCTTCTTCAGGTGATTGGAATTTCAAACCGAATGACCCAGTGGATAAAGACCTTGGTTAGATCCAGTAACTAGACCCAAAGAGTTATGAGTCCAATATCAGGCTACAGTAGTAGTGGACCAAAAATGCGGGATGAGTTAAATGGAAGTAACATCTGGAAGAGTTATGGCACGTGAAAATAGAACAATCTACCCTCGGTGGACGTAGTAAAGGGTTCGGTTCTTCAACTTGAGATATTTGAGAAGGATATTAGTATAATGCAGAACTTGTACTGGCAGCAAACCGGATGCACAGGAATAGAATATTAATTCGGTAGATATACAAAAATAGAAAGTGGTGTGAGAGAAAAGATGTCTTCTCACCGAATTTATTCAGCCTCTACAGTGAGGCGACTCTGAATTATAAGAATTTATTATTTATTATCATTCTTAAAAATATGACACAGTGTTGATAGCAGAAACAGAAAGGAAAGTGTAACAACTTCTACAGACGTAGTTAAGGAAAGCGTAAAGAAAGGACTAGCTATCAATTGCAACTATATAGAATGTATGATTGTTATCAAAAGGAATTGTCCAACATGTAAATTATAAATTGGGGATACCAAAACCAAACAAAAAAAAATTAAATATCTGGAAAATGTTTTAACAGGGGACGGAAAATGCGACACTGAAATCCGAAGGCGAATTGGGATAGCGAAAGATGTTTTCCAAAAACTAAACAAAATATTAAGAAAAAGGGAAAATTTTGTTAGAAACAAAGAAGATAACTGAATTGTTACGTAAAATTAGTCCGACTATATGGCAGTAAATACTTGACAATCTCCTCATAGCTGAAGAAGAGAGTTGAAACAAGTTCTGTAGCTGTACAGAAGGATGATGATGATACCATGGATCGAACCTGTGAGCAACAACGTAGAGAAAATGGAAACAAAAAAGACACTTATACTTGACATCAGCAAGAGATTAGCTGAAATTGATAGAGAAATGAGGAAAGCAACACATAAACTACCCAGCGAGTTTTAATAAATGGATGGCAGAACAGGTTTTAGGAGAGGTAACAAAAATACATCATCTTATTAAGAGCAACAAAGAAAAGGTAATTATGGAGAGCCATGATCGCAAATGTCCTGAAGGAATACGGTACGTAAAAAAAGAAAAAAGAGAATGAGTTAAATGAATAGCAGAACCGGGAGAGATAGCAAAAAAGACATTATTAAGGGCTACTGAAAGGACATGACACATAGAAGAAGATTAATATGCTTTTCATAGAAAGAGGTCCCAATGTGTTGTCCATCATTTGATATGTCTTTATACGTATTGACGAATGAAGGTGTTTTAAGAAACATTTAACTAATTCGAACCAGAAAATGAATCCATGGTAAAAATTCATAATTATACATCAATGTTTCGAAATAATATTTTAAAACCTTATTTGTAATGGACTCTCCCGTCGTATTCGACGTATGAGTGTCAGGCAACTCAGTTCCGAGGAACCGATAGCCAGACACCTACACATATAATTTGATTATAATGGTGAAGGCTTTGTGCAGAACATTTTTTGAAGAGCCGAATACACAGACTTGACGCACCTCCAAACGACCAAGTTTTGAATTCAGAGTTATTCATCTAGACCAGTTGCCATGCAAGGCTATAGAAACCAGTCTGTCCTGCTATTTTGCCATAGCTGGAGGGAGAAGAAGAGAATTCATACCTTTCCCAAGGGTATTAGAACGTAAGTGAATGCAATGGATTCGACTGGAATTCGAACTCGGCTCTCGGATTCCTCAGTTCGAGCCGTACCTCCTCTTTTGTGTTTGATATGTATTATAATCATTGTTACTACTTAGGTTATTGCTGCAAGAGAGATCACGTGACTAATAAGGATGTTTGTATAGCGCCAGGACTCCTAATGGAAAAATTCTTACCGATAATGAGGACTTGAACACCGACAAGCGAGAAATACGCAACTCATCTGAACGCCAAATTGGACAATAAAAGTAGAAAGATTTTTGCAAGTCGGGGTAAGTACTAGTTTGAAAATCAACATTCAACATTCTGATCCTTAACGAGGATCGAAAACCTACCCACTGACACCAATGAAAAATGTGCCAGTAGGCCTGTTTTGTTTCTGTACGGTTTACGGCTATGTGGGAT